AATCAATTGCGCCAAATTTTGCGCCAATCAATTGCGCCAATTTCGACTTTGATCGTCGAAATACCCGACGCGGAAGCTTATCGAGACGAGTCCGCAGAATTCGTTGGTAATTCAAGTCTGATGACGCGATTGCTAGAACGATACATTGATTTGTTACGTGAATGCGCAAGGAGAAACTGTCATAACAAAAGTGTTACGCTATAATGTCGGGAAAAGTCCGTAACATATTCCGCACTTCATTTATACACTCTATCACATTTAACGGAATAGAACGATACGTTATCGGATGCCGCGACTTCCTTTCTCTTCATCATTTTCATTATCACGATTATTTTCATCAATGCGATCGCACGGTTTAGCTGACGATGCAAGCAACACGGGTAGCAGCGAATCGAGTGGCTCTTCAAAGATCGCTTAATCCTATTTGGGACCTACTTTTAAAACGCGCGCGAGAGAAAGTAAGAGGAGCTGCCGATGGAGTGACGGCGGTCGCGTGCTTGAGAAAGTAAAGTCCCTTTCGCGCATAGAGATGTATACTCGCGTATATACTTGCGCCGATATACACGCTCATGTACGCCTTATCGTGTACGCCAAGCGGATCTATATGGGTCGCGAGAGGAAGTCGATGTTACTAATAATGCACGTGGAATCCTATCTCGGCTGCTATGTAATTTTAAATTCCTCTTCCCGCTTTTTTCGTATCGTGGAGAATCTTTTCGCACTAAATTACACACACATTCTGCTCTGCCACACAATTACAACATGAAAAATAAGTATACGATAATAAAAAAATATAAAAAAAGTAAATTCCATAATTACACGGTTAATCTGGAAATTAACTTGCCAATTAATTCGGAGAAATAAAAACTGCATAATTTCAATATCAAATTATATATATATATATATATATATATATATATATATATATAGAGAGAGAGAGAGAGAGAGAGAGAGAGAGAGAGAGAGAGAAAGAGAGGGAGAGAGAGAGCGCAATATAAATTAGATCAAAACAATTTCTCAACATATGAGTTATATTATAGTTAGTCATTGTTATTCTATTACAATTAATTACTCGCAATTATTATTCTGCGACGGCCTTCATTGACTTTAATTATTCATGATTGTAAATTGGATAAAATTTGATTAGTCATTAAATTCAACTCGTTATATTTCAATGTTATGAATGTCAGTGCTATAAATGTCGTGACGGTTTACAAATGATTTAACAGGTAGTCCATCACTCATAACTCTCCGCAACGCCAGCTTCGCGAATTATTGGAGCAAGAACGAACTCACACATGATACATCGTACGATATTTTCCTTTTACGGGAAAGATTAGGAATGAGCGCCTTGATTTACGTCGCTCTAATTAACGTCACACACGCGTTATACCACAGACATTTACATCCAGACACGTTTACGACGATTATTGCACATTTACTGAATATATCGCGTTTTTGGCAGAAAAGTTACACACGATGACCACATTGTTATCTCCATCCTTCCTTCCAGTTTCCGCAATTGTACTTCATGGTAATAGCCCGCTTATCAATACGTCAACGATGACGACACGACGTGACGTCAGGCAACGTCATTCTTTCGTTCACTCTTCCTTAGTGACGTTACGACTTTCCTCAGCTTGATATCATCGACAACTGTCATGTATTATTATCTATTCGCGTCACAATGGTCGCGGAGGCACGTCTCGCGTACACAAAAGACTGTGGCAATGCGCTTAATTACAAGACGAGACTTCCTCGACGTTGCGCAACTGAACGCGCGCCGCTTTTTTTCCGACGCTGGTACACGTCCTGACACTTTGCTCGCGTTAATCTATAAGTTTTTAACGTGCGCGTTCGCAAATAAAGATGCTGGTAAGTAATATTTTCTTTCAGGAATTCCACGACAGCTCGTAGACCGTCGCATTACAGAGAGCGATAAGCCACTTAGCCGCGCGATGTCGTAGCTATCATAGAGAGTGATATCTACAGAAGAGAGAAGAAAAACTCTCCAACTTCCGGCGGTGTGCACAATTCGCTCGTTCGCTCGCTCGCTCGCTCATTCGCGACGTCGAGTCGCGGCGATAAAAGCGATGAGATACGTAGGATACTTTCGAAGTTCACGGAGAAAGTTATACCTGGTTGACTCTAGGCGGGTGCCAGGCGACTCGTCTAGACGAATAAAAGGAGCAACATCGATGATCTCGCGATCTTGCTCGTCGGTTTCGACCCAGTTTTTGCGCACCTTGCGTGCATTCTCAGCCGCGACATTCTTTCATTCGAGACGATCTCTATGACAAGATCTCGCCAACGCGGCGCGCGAACACTTTCGATCTTAATTGAGGGAGCGCGTTCTTCGCGCCGATCTTTCTTTCTAATGGATGCAACCGGCGATTGTTAACGAGCCTCGTTAGTCGATCGATTCTCCGTCGACTTTGCCGCGAATTCAGCGAGCACTCAAGCGTGAGAGAAGAACGTTACACATACGATCGCAGTTATTAATTAAGCGCTAAAAGGATAATACAAAATTGATCGCACTAGTGAGTTTTCGAATGGTCGCAGCTGCACGAAATCTCCAATTAGGAGGCATCGTCCGTCGTTTGATACGACATGATCGCGACCGGACCGCGAGCTTAATGACACGTTTCATCACTCTCACTGACGCGGATGTGTTTCTTAAATATGCTGCGGGAATCTTTCACGTGAAGAGACAGTCTGTGTAACGAGATGCCAGCACTCCGATGTTGGTGGTTGGCTCGAGGTGTCAAAGAGGAGAAAGGAGCTAATAACGCGTCGTACATGACGTATGTGTCATCGGGCGTGCGTCGCCTACTTTCGTTTTCATCTAGAATACAATCTGCATAAATTTTCGTCGTCTGTACACATAAACGGCGCGCGTAACAGTTTACGTTTATAGTCTCTTTATCCAGATTATCGAGATTATTTTTATGTTACGTCGCGTTGAAAGAATTGTGAATGCTGCGCGATTTTAACCAAGAGGCTGGAACTGCCGCAGTTCCGCGATTTCTTCAGCGTCTTCTGCATCTTCGCTACTCGAAATCGCCTCGGAGATCACGTAGATTCCGCAAATTGCGCCATGACTTCGTGAATCATGCTACATAAGACGCTACATAAGACGCGCGCGCATTTTTATCGTCGAATATCACGCGAATTGGCGTCGAGCACGTTAGAAAAATGTCAATTGTCGCGTTCTCATGTCGCGTCCTTGCGTGTTATCGAGACGGATCCGCGAGTCCGTAATTCGCACGATCAGCGCGTAGGAATGTTACGGCAATCGCGGCAAACTGATCTCGAAGTCCATCAGAAGCGACCGGCTCGTCGCTCGTGATGCGTTCGTCGATTGGCACGCGAACGCGTCGACGCGCGAATTCGAACGGGAAAGTGGCGCGAAATCGCGTCGAATTTGGCGTAAGCGCGCTACCGAAAACAAAAAAATAATTTCATCGCGCGCGATTGTCCCATCATTCATGGCGGCGTGTCGCTAACTTTCACTGACGCTTAAATCATAATTCACAGAGCAAACGATTTCCTACTGCCCGCGCTCGTCGTCGTCGTCGTCATCGTCGTTTTGTAAACTCGTAAAAAATAAGAGTGCCCCAGATAAAACGTCACCGCGGCGGCACTTTTTTCCACTTAACAGTTCGGATTGACGCGCTATAGAGTATACACACGATGTATTTTCGCTCATTAATTTTGACGCTTGATCGATGCAGATTGCGAATGTAAGAAATACAAGCTGTACTTGTACATTTCATAGCTTACATTCCGGCTGGTGAAGCTCTCTCTCTCCTTCCCCCCCCCTCTCTCTCTCTCTCGATGTTTCATTATTAGTTTCTTAATCAGTTTCCTTTTATATCTTAAAAAGACACAAGTGAGTGATTATCGAATGATTAATTGGCGATTTTCGTAAAAATACCCACAGACTGAAACTCTATGTAGCGAGAGAGAAGGTTTCTCCTATTTTTTTCGTGCTTATTCTCGATAAAACAATGGTTCGTTCCCGGAACACTCCTCGGTTACACTTAATTGTCTTAAATTACTTCCTAAATGTTTGCGGCAGTCAAGCAAAGCGTAGAGAAACGTTGTGCGAATCGGAACTGCAATTTTTTTAACAGATTAACAAGTTCGCGTGTAAAGTGTTATTTCTGTGTTCGCAAACACGGAAAACGTTCTGTTAAAATTGGCAGAATTTAGAATTTAAAGATTCCACACGGACAAGTTCGAAATTGTGCTCCCACTCGAAAATTGTCGCGCGCTTCGTAGTATACTTTCCTTTGCGCTTTTTGGAATATGTGTGCGAGCTCTCACCTCGATTAAGCAAAATGGAGATGTCAAGTGTGTAAAACTTTCTAGAGTGTCAACGAAATTAGGTGTCTCGCGCCGTGTCATCCTGTGGAAGGCACAAAAGAACAATGCGGTGAGAAATTGGGCAGTAGTCCATCATGGGTTTCGGCAATATTAAAATGTTGTCCGCCTCTCAGGACAGTGATTGCAGGTGAGTCTCAGAAGGTGTCATTTGAAGAAAATATCGTGGTGGAGTGGACTGCAGTTTATCCACGATGATTAATATTTCCTATTAGCGGAGACGTAGAGACGCCACAAATAAATCACTGTTACCGCGAAATACGCGCGATATCTCGAAATTGTTAATTAACGTTATCAATTATCGAAGGAGCTAAACTCGAAATGACGGGATATTCTTCCTGGATTCACAATCCCCCACCGTGATTGAGTCGAGAAGTTACGGAAGGTCGTTGAAGTCGTATGAAAAAAAAAAGAGAAGGAGAAGAGGAAAGTCATCCTGAATCGTCAAAGGACAATCGTATCCTCCACGACAGGCGCCGGTTGGTTTTCTTCTGATCCGGAGCGTGGAGAGGTGGCGGCGGTCTGTCGCCTCGGCGGTATACATAGTGGGGGCCCCGCGAGAGAGTTTTACGTACCGAAATGAAACTACTCGGCGGAGAAAGTGAGAGCAGACGTACAACGTCGGACACTGAGCACACGACGAGCAGGCGTTCCTCGGGGCTCCTCCAGGAGAGAAGATAGACATGGTGTGAGCCCGTTCACGGCGCGGACCTTCGCCGCCACCGCGTGGTAACCGCTTCATCGGGCCCACGGTAGTGGGACCGCGAGCAGTGGTGCGTCCTCGTCGATCCGAAGAGAAATTCCCTCGGAGAGGACGTCGGAAAAGTCGTAGCGCGAAAATTGCGCTCCTCTTCTTCCGGGGGATTTTTCGACGGAGGGCGCAGTCGATTGTTCGAGTCAGTGAGAGTGAAAGAAGTTCGAGAGGTGCGTGACGGTCACTCAGTGGAGGCTTGAAGTCGAAGAAACACCGGTCTGTGAGAATTTGGGTTAGTCTGTCACAATTGAAAACGACCTCGCTGATTTGCGGAACCTTATCGAAAGGTCAACAGACTTTATCGTGATAACGCGCGAAGACGACTTCGGCTCCAAGTAGCTTACGAAGGGATCACCGAGACAAAGGAAAATCTTCGCGCTGATCTTGCGTGCTGGATATGTAATAAATCGCGAGTGCTCGCGCGACTTCGTGACGTAGTCGGGATTGGTAATCGGAGGACGAAGATTCATCTCGCGGTGATAGAGAGAGGAACCCTCTTCGCAACGGTATCTTCAATCGTGTTATGGTGCTAAGGACTACTTCGGTCAGACGAAGAGGTCGCAGAAGAGAGGGTGGCCGGAGTAGTATCCTGGCGGGATCCTCCTGAAAAATCGCTCGCATTGATTCGATCAGTCGAGGAGAAATCCGGAAAAATCAGGTCCGGTTTGATCCGGTGAGTCGGTGAGTGCGGCTGATTTGTTTCTCTAGATCGTTGCTTGTCTTATTCCTTGTTTTCCACCTGTTGATTTTAAAAACTAAAGCTAGCTAAAAGGGCGTACGAATATCACACCAATTATTGACAATGTTTTGTGGCAACCCAGAAAATCGTGTCTTGATGATTGGCATGGTAGAATTGACTGCCAAAGCCTGACTGCGAGTTTCTTTTTGTTAAGGCGAGAAACAGGAGTATTGTTTCGTGTTGAACGAAATAAAAACAGTTTGTAAGAGAAAAGCTCGTTGCATCTCCGCAATAAAAGTGGTTTTAGATTTACAGTCGGTTCATCGTTGCGCGTGCAGTTCATTATCGTGTAGCAACGGCAACGTTATCGATCGGTATTTTATTCCACTTAGCGCTTAGTACTTGGTACTTAGCATTTAGTACGTTAAAGAATGTATCTCTCGATCAGTAACTAGTCTGATTTTTTTTTCTTCATAATGCAAAATCGACCTGCGTAAAGCGATGGGTTTGGCTTTGAAAAGTCCATGACTTTCTCCCACGACGTTTCCTCGCAATGTTGATTGTACGTACGATAAATCGTGCACACACAGAATCTCCCAAAGCAGATCAAATTTATTCGATTTATTGTCGGGATTATAGGCGCGATAGATGAAGGCACGTAGAACGGAACGCTCGGTTTCGTTTCGTTAGGCATAATGTACGTTTAAACGGCAGTTACTATAAATGCAGGGAGAAAGCAAGATTGCCCCGGTGGAGAGCACCTATCTTTCCAAAGAAAGGCTATCAGCCGTCTCTTACGTATAAAAAGTGTGTTAAGCGAAAAGCGCAAGCCGGTGCGTGCGGTGATTTTGATGCATGGAGGCGATCGGTGCCACATTTGTTCTCAGCCTGGATTTCAACTTAGACCAACATCAATTAAGTTTAACAACCGCGTCGCTTTGCTCTCTTGCGTATAGATTCCGCATGTAACGCCATGTTTCACAAAAAAAAAAAATGAAAGAGAAAAATATTAAAGAAATATTTCATACTCGATCACTGTTAGACAATTCGTAGCCGTATTCGTCATTAGTAACCATAGCATTTATTCGTGAATTAACTAACGAATGACGATAACCAATGCAAGATTTCAAACTACCACGGTTGGTAAAAGACGATAAATTTTCTCGCAAAGATTCAACGCCACTATAACGTATATGCGAAATATGGTTTCTCTGAGACTCTTACTTCACGAAATCATTGTATAACGCAAAAATTCACGAGACGAGTGAAAGGTGAAAAAAAAAGAGCGGTTCGGGTTGAAAGTGATGTATTTTTTAATCCCGAACGAGAAGAAAGTTTTCGTTAATTTTGGAAAGAAGACGAGGCTTCGCAAAGAGATGCGTGATCATCGGTTTAAAGCACGGGCCTCGCCGTCACGTGCCGCGCGCTGCCGCCTCGAGTCTGCTGGTTTTTTTTTTAAGTTTCTGTCCTCGTAGGCAGTGAAAGTACTTCCGTTCTTTCTCAAAACGAAGCGCTCGCCAGCGTCGCATTGAGGATGCACGCTTCGGTACCATTGTGCGCGTTACCCAAACACTCCTTCTCGACGTTTACGTAACGAAATTCGATAGAGGTCTGAGGAAAAACGTGGACTGGAAGAGGAGTGCTCGTCGACACGAGTAGCCTTTTAAACTCGACGTCAGTGATAGAGCCGTGGAAGGCTCCGTGCAGGAATCGAGAAATTCCTGCACGAAGTAAACGGCCGTCAACGGGAACGTTCCCGTTGCTGCGAAACGCGATTTTCCAGCGGCCGAATTGCTCACGTTGCTGCACGTCCGCGAGGAGCAGCCAGCGTTTGCACATTCTGATCACACCCCGAATCTGAAAACAACACAGAAATAAAGTGGCCAGCGTGAGAGGATTCGTTACACAATGGAAAGTGTTCGTCACGAAAGATATCGGGTGAATTAGACCGAGAAAACGCCTACTCTTTTCAAGGCCATGAATAAAAGCAGTGAGATTTCTTCGGAGAAGAAACAGGTTTCTATGATGTCTTCCAAAAGGAAGCTTGGATGCGTTGTTGAAACATACTTGCCGGGACGAGTTTTGAACCATATAGACATCTAACGCGGAGAATCTATCCGTTCTTAGTCACTCAAAAGCAACAACGCCAACCAACGTTCTAAATATGTGTGTCGAGCAATTACAGCGCACAGAAAAAAAGGCATGATGATAGCAACTATAAAGTGTACGAGTATATAGTTGGATATAAAAACTACTTTATAGTTGTTGCAACCAAAGCTTTAGTTACAATGTATATAACTATAAAATAGTTTATTCAATTATATACATTACTGGCTTACACTGGCCGGCGTCACTCGGTCTTCTTATATCCAGAACATTTAAATATAAATTATCATAAAGTGTCAAAAGAATGATTTCTCCCTATCAGGGAGAAATCAAGTTTCATATAGGAATCTGGAGAGCAACTATGCAAAATTTGGTTCAAATCGTTCAAAGGGTTTAGGAGTTAATAGAGAACATACAGAACATAGAGAACATAAACATTATATTTTATAATATATGTAGAAAATAATTCTACATATAAAAAACTCATATAGTTATCACTTTATAATTGATATTACCGTGTTTTACCCTGAATATAGCAATGTTATGTCTATGATTAAAACTGAATGTCGACTGCGTGACACTTAAACTGATAATAAAGACGACGACAGGAAATTTACTGAGAAAAACATAGCATGCAATCTCAAAGTATGATAGTTAACGATGTCGAGATCGTAAAGTTGTCACACATACATTACGTACTCATTACACGGAAAATTAGCTGCGTCCGCTCGTGGACGCTAGTAGGACCAGTATTGCTACAGCTGGTAACGGCTTTCGTATCGTCTGGAAAAATGACATTATTTATATAAATTCTTTTTTATTATATAATACAGGGTGTACACGCCTCGTGTATTATTATACCGGATTGTTGTGGCTCAGAGGCGCGTGGAGCTTTTCCCCGTGATGCTTCGCCGGTCCCATTGTTATGATAGCTTAGGTTTACGCAGTGCGTCAAAGGAAAATCGTGGTTGATGCTGGCAGCGGAACGCACGAGAAGACGATTATCCTTCGATTTGGGCGAAAGTAATGGCGAGCTCGCGTCTCTCGCGTCGTGTCGCGTCGCGCCTCTACCATCTGGAGAAAGTGATGGCTCCGCGGTGGTTCTTAATGTCGATGCGAACGCGGAATTCAAGACCCGAGGACGACTCTCGGATATCGCGGTCTCGCGGATCACCGAGCGAGGAAAAGGATATGGTCGGCAGATCCGTGTGGGTGCTTGAACGTGCACGCGTACGTGCGTACGTTGCTTTCACTGACAGCTGGAAACGGACGCGCGGCCGGTGATGGGTGATACGGCGTCTTCGTCGTGTAGTATGATGAGCTATAAATGTGCGGTAAATACATGGTTCTCTAAGTTATTGCAGAGATTGTGTATATGATTTTCGAAATCAGTGTTCTTCAAGTCTTTGTACTAGGTTAAAGGATACAATGACGATTTGGGGAAAGTTGTCCCATTGCGGGTAGCGAGATGTTGCATTGGGCAACGTTTCTTGGTCATTCTCATGACGGAAGTGACGTTTCTGGATGACGTCAAGATGTCGCAAGACTGGCAGTCTTGCGTCACATCCTGGTGTTATATCAAAGCGATTAACGAAGTCGTTGATGAAAATCATACCATGAAATTAATGACGTATCTTCGACGTCACGATGTGTGATGTCAAAGGTATGTGTGACGAGAAACTGTCGATCTTACGACACTTCAACGTCATCTTAGAATATCTTTCATAGGGATAACAAAAAAATTCAATAGACGACGTCTCTCAATCTGAAATGATATCAAGATTCATATAATAAAAGTATTGATCATATATTCAATATTGTGACTCATTTCCATAATCGAACGCACGCGTGCTCACTTCACAAAAGTCAAGACACGGTCGGTCGAGCTGCGAACGCAAAAGAAAATTACAGCATTTCGCTTGCCGGTGGTTGGCGAGGGGAGAAACGAAGACGACGTCGGAAATCGCGATCGAACGGAATTATGAAGATCACGACAAGGGCGATCGCGTTGCAGTAATCGAACACTTTCACGGTGAAATTCCGCGGCGCAACAGCAGATTTGCGTGCATTCGCGTGGCATTTCGCGACGATGTGCTCGACACGAGGGGACAAAAAGGATAATGGAGGGAACAAAAGCGGGTGGCACCGAGGAGCCGGTGGGCAGCGGCTCGTAACTTCCGCCGCTGGGGCGGCGGGCTGCGTGAACGTGAACTTCACACTGTCGTGCACGCAAGAAGTGCACTTTCACTTCTGGTGGATCCACGCGACGGAGAGCCAATGACCTACTAACACATCGGACCATTCACCTCGCGCCGCGTTTGTTGGTCCGGCAAGGCCGTCCACTGGGGATTATCCAACGAACAATTATATCCTTCCCCCTTTTTTCTCTCTCTCTCTCTCTCTCTCTCTCTCTCTCTTTCTCTCCTTTTGGCGGCCCCGACGCCTCGAAAGTCACTTTGCTCTTCGACCAGGCCGAACGTCAAGTAACTATCCGTCGATCACGTAAGCAACTTTGCCGAGTCCCTCGTTGACTTGACATTTACTTCTTTTTTACGAGAATCCTGACAGTTTCCGCAAAGCCCACGCGAAAATCATCATTCGTATGTGTAGGCGAGAGAACCTGGTTACAGCTTAGCGACTGATACATCGTTTTCTCTCGCTGATATTCTTGGTCGTGGCGATAGGTTCATTCGGCAAGGATGCTGCGAGACTCTGAGCGATGGATCTTCTTGTGTGCAAACGTCGTGATGTTCGGTTCCGGCTGAACTTCTTTACTTTCACTCGTTACGGAGGATCGTGACGCAAACTGGATTTCATCGTGTCGCGAAGAATTCTGCAGGAGGAAGAGAGGTTCCGAGGAAGTTGTTTTCCATCTTGCTTCTCGCTTGCCTCCGAGCGTCACCTGAACGCGGAATCTCCCCCTGCTCATCTACACTTAATCCGCATGGCGGACAATGGAATTAGAACATCAGCAAGGCTGTAATCACTTGCACGACGTTTCGACAATTCGCCAGGAATGAGCGATTAAGAACGAAAGCTGCGCGATGAATTGACCCTCGGGAGAACCGACGATTCTAAATCTTCATCGAGTTGTCGCGCTCGGAACAACACGGCCAGAGAGTGAGATTTTATTTTAGTTCCACTTGAAAATTTATCTCTATATAATTCGCTTTCACACCTCGTATCTCTTCGTGCAAAGAAGCGCCGCTCGCGAACACACCGTGCCAAAAGAAAGTTCTCTGTCGATCGCTCGCGAAGCCGCTACCTGATAATTGTAGACAGGGGCAGGCATTCCTTGACTATTCGAAGCAGAATCTTCGAGGATTCCACCTGATTACAAGTCTGGATGCGCATTTCCTTTCGCCGGGAATCACGCGCTCTAATGGCGCTCGATGATGATTAACGACTCGTGAAACTCGACTCGAGGAGAAAATCAGTCCGGCTCGAGTAGTGACAGATTGTCCATGATTCCCAACACATCATCGTGCGTGGAAAGGTGACTCGGATTCTCGCACGTGCGTGTCTATCGTTGTGCCGCGGTCCGTGCGCGTAATTTATTTTACCACTTTCTTCCACTTTTCATACTCACCGAATCATTCGCTTTATCGCGAATGTCTTCTCAGCGGCGTCTTTTGCTTCCAATGTCGCGGCGAGCTCAAATTTCGCGTTAATTTCTAACCCGACATGTTCTGTCCACAGCGAAACGATGGGTGCATCGAGGCCGCGCCATTGGCTTCTCGCTGCGGTCGTCCTCACTGTATCCTCGAGTCTGATGGCGAGCGAGACCCAGCTGTCGAGCTTTGACTCTTCCACGGCCATCGACGCGCTGAAAAAGGAGTCTAATCGCACCGGGGTGCTGACGATCCGCCGGCGGAGATACGTGCGATTTCCCACGGGGCCCGCTTACCTCTTCGACAGCGGCCCGCCGCTCGGCAGGAACCTTGGGCCGCATCAGGCCGCGCGTGCCGTACCTCAGGTCCAGTTTCCTTCGTGGCGGCAACATAAGTCCCTCTGGAGAAGCCCCGTCGCCAATTACAATAGACCGGTGATGGCCCATCGAACCCCGCGACTGATATTCCGAGACAACGACTTCCTGCCGGTAGGAGGCGGCGCGGCCTCCTTCTTCCAGCAGTCTAATCAGCTGCCAGAATTCGAGGATGACATTCGAGGTAAGAGTTTTTTCCTTTCTCTTCTTTGTTTTAATTTGCGCGCGATAATATATCGTCTTTATCTCCTTGACTTGAAATTCAAGCATAAAGCTTTGCGATTATCAGTACAATGGAGTTACTCAATTGTGGAATTGCCGTTCTGCAATTTTTGAAAAGAATGTCCCAACGCAAACTCTTCTCGACCCTCTTCTGCAATTTACATGCGACTACCCGAGTATCATAAATTGTCCGCGATTCAAATGAAAATACTAGAAACTGTAGAACTGTGGCGCTCTCAACTACGGTTTAATATAACGACGCGAATCGAGTTTATTGCTAGTGCTCTTCTCCTCGGAGTACTTAACGAAGTTTCCCCTTTTGCTTTCTTCTTTTCTTCGCGAGCGCGCGCTCGCGTAATCCTGCCGCTTCTGTAACCCGCTTCGCCGTGCAAACTTGCGCTTCATCGGCCTTAGAGAAGCGTGTGAATGCAAATGACGCGTCGTTATACGGAACTTTCAAAGCATTTCAATTGCAAACGAACCGACTCCAGCGCGATCGAGTGAAATAACTCGCGCCCATAAGCGCGTAAGATACGTAACGACGGTCTTACGCGTCGAGCTTTAACGGTCGTTCTCATTTATCTACGCATATACGGACATAGGACGCATATAAAAGGCACGGGACGGTTTTGATGATCTCGAGCAACTGCTGCGACAGGCGAAATAATTAATCCTCATATTAATACTCTGAGTTCCTTTCAGTTTCCTTTCATGAGTCTCTTTAAGTATTTAATGCTGTGGTTTTCGTCGAAACAAATCCCACAGGAAACGGTCTTCTTACCGCGATTTGCGATAATTCCATTTTCTCCGGACGAACATGTTGTCTTTATTTCAGATCACCGGAAGCAGACCCCGGAGGATTATCCTAGATTGGAAACAGGTACGTGCGCGGTGCGCCGAGAAAATCGATATAGCTAGCCTCAGGCGACGTCGCTCCAGGGAGCTTGCGATACCGTGCGAGTTCGCATGGTTCCTGTACGCTTCTCGGCCACATCATAATCGTCCTCCGAAGACCTCGCGTGTAAAAATCAGGCGGATAATCGCGCAACGTTCCACTCGAGCGTAATGGCCGTAGCACGCGAGACTTATTTCCACCACAGCGCCGAGGGCTTCCGTCGAGGTCCGAGACACGGAAATCGTTACGACATCGTCGACGTCGCGCTTTGCCGCCGGCCGGCAAGTCGTCGTCATGCCGGGCTGGTACGGGTCCTTTTTACGATTGCCCAAACCATCGGCCCTCTCCACAACCGTGTCGGGACGGCGAGAAACGATCGGCGCTATCACGTCACGATGCTTTTCTCGTCGATCGCATTTATTGCCTCGGGTATGCCCTCGTGAATTTTGGAATGCGCATCTCATTCTGGCCGACCTGCCCAAGTCGGGATACAATCCTGCAGCGACGATTTCACATGTGACGAGATTAAGCGTTGAATCTCGTATAGCGTTAGTCGCCCGCAGACTCGCAAAAAATGTAAATGTCTCATTAGAAATATGTTTGGTTGTGCAAATTTCTGCCAGGAGGCTCCGGATCTGCAACTGACTCTCACAGCTGAAATAGAAATGTGTCAATTCCACAAATGATATACAGTTTGGATACCTCCGTTTCTCTGGGGTTTTCACGGGTGAACACGTCGGCGTTTAAACCGGCCCTGGATTGTAACCTGCGGTGGTTTCGTATGCCAAAGTTAGACTTGGAGTAATCAGCGAAATGAATGCTTCGAGTTTCTTACACTGATTAATCGCTGTTTAAACGTAACCATAATTATTGAGCATTGAAAAAAGACCAGTCGGACGGTGCTTCTTAGGTAGCTTATTTTTCAGACCGTTAGTCAAAAGTATATCAGAAGAGTCAGAAGGTGATCGTATGTGTGATACGGATGTTAATATGCAGCAGACACAAGTGTCTGCTAAGTATCTGCTAAGCTGATTGACTTTGTAGCATCTAGTTTGAAAAGTTACTTTGAATATTTGCGTTTCTCTATAAGTTCGAGCTGGAGCTGCTTCTGATCTCGGTTAATAATGAACGGTGAATCGAAACTTTGCTTAACCATTGCAACGCGACAACGCCGTCCTCCGGCATGCTCTCTCGGGCTTCTTGGACTTCTTCCTTCTCCGGCCAGACCGCGCGTCTCATAGCTTCCTCCCGGCAATCGCGAGGCAGGAGGCGAAAGACAAGTTTCCGTATTTTCTGCAGAGACGCGCCAACAAAAAAGGCCGCTGTGGAAAGGCGACGATACATTGTGCGCGGACGGACGGAGCTGCGAATTTTTTCTAATGTGCTGGATGTCTGCTGGCCTATTGGACGGCAGCTGCGGCGGCATTATGTTCGCATGTTGTCAGCGGAAAGATCCTAAAGCTCTCACTGATTATAACCTGATCGAGTCGCCTAGAGATCAATCTCGGCCGCTTCCGCTGGATTTGTACACGGAGACCGCCAGCGACGATCGTAAGTCCTTCCTTCGAAAACGCATGTCCTCCGTACACATTGCACACACTCGCGCGCACACCGCAGGCATGAGTTCTTCTCCCGTCTCTTGAATTCTTTTCTCTTTCCCTTCCCGTCTCTCTTTCTCCACCCTTTATCTCTCACTGGTCCGTTGTATCTCATCGTCGACTGCATCACAACCCACGTGCACTCGCATGTGCACCGAGCATATACCACCGTTTTCCTTCCGTTCCTCGTTTTTCTATCTCAAGAAAGTGCACGCTTTCCTCGCCGGACACGTTCCATTCGTCGTCCTGGGCCTTTTCTCTTCTCCTTTAGTAGCACAGTTTTTCCTTCTTCCAGGTATATTTCTCTCGTGTATACCTTTATCTCTCAGCTCTTAGATTTTCACGTATGCGACGTTCGATCCACGCATGCACCACCACCACCATCTGCCTTTCTGTGCATGTTTGCCCGGAAATTGGTTTCTCAATATCGGAACGGCATGTTTCCGCCCAATATCCGCCTAAATCTCCGTTAACGGCTGCAAACGTCAGTCTCGTCGATCTCGGCCTGTCTCCCTCTCTCTTTATATATATTTTTCGTCGCGATATAAAGACGGTCCCGTCAAAATCACAAAAATCTACGCAGGAAAGCTCTGCTCAACGACGAATGAAAATCTACACGAGTAAAAAATCGTTAATCTTACGAAGGGATTAAGATAAAAAGGAAAGAAAAAGCGCGATAGGCCCATGTACAGGACGTAGGTATAACGACTGTTGTCATCTGTGGATTAATTTTCTCGATAGTGAAACGCGTCGGAGTCGGCTCGTAAAACTTGGGCGATCTGCACTGCTCTTTCTCATGATCGACACGGTAAAACGCTTCGCTGCATTCGCGACAACGCCGTACGTCCGTTTTCTACTCCCCGTTTTCTTGCGAGAACACTTTTACTCTGTGTCGAGCAACGCACTAATAAGCGCACGAGTTTTTCCTAAAATAACGCAGCCGACTGAAGGACGTTTCTTGGACACGTCCTAATAATCTGAAATAATCTGGAAAAATCTGAAACTTTTTGTCTCCCTCATTATTCTCCCTTATTACTTGAATTGTAACCAATCGTGGAGCGTGTTCTAACAAAGATTTAAATTAACAGAAAGTTTATAAAACTGAGTTAACTAAGATTCATAAGTCTCGCTGCTCTCGAGGCGCATTGATTCAGGGAATAATAATCAGTGCTGCATGGCATGATTGCACGTACAAAGTCGATAATTTGTCGTAACGAGGCAATAATTGTCAAAAAAGCATCGTTTGGTTATCGCTTTTACATTACTAATGAATGTACGCTTGGTATCTTCTTGAAAACTTTTTATAACGTTCTTTTCATCCTTATCTATCGGGCGATATTCGAGGATATGAGTGGGTCGATGTAACGCTCAAAGTTACTCAATAGGACCGTAATTACAGAGCGCGGTTCAACAATGAGATCGGACGGAAGGAGCGCTATTAACGCGAGTCACCGTATTACTCCAAGTCCAATTTCGGCGATGTAAGAGCGGGAAGAAACAGTTCTTTCTTTTTCTATCGATTACTTCACACTTTCAACAACCGGAACGCGCGATTCTCTAAAGGCATCGATCGTAATAAAATCGTTTAAGCGCGTTATTGTAATCACAGGTTGCGGCACAGCTGGAATTGCCTGATGTCCTGCGTGTACAGAACAACCTTTTTTTTCGGCTTTTTATTCCTCGCAAACGATACTTGAATGATCCGTTCATAAAGTCCGTTACTTTAATTATCACCTCCTCTCCTCCGCTATCTATCCAGATGATTCCGAAATCACGAAATAAAACGTGATTGTCTCTTCGAATTAATTCACTCGACTCTTCTGTCGTCGTATTTCGAAAAGGAACATTTGGCAATCCTAGCACAGCTCGTCGCGTCGGGTAATTGGACTCGACTGAGTCGAGCTAATTATAACGACGACGCTTTAAAACTGCTCGCGAATCTAGATAATTGCGTTTTCCAGGTTGCGGCATACCGGTCTCGAAACAAACCGCGCAGAGGAGGATCGTTGGCGGCGACGACGCCGGTTTCGGTAGTTTTCCGTGGCAGGTCAGATGCGATGATAGCGCAAGAATCATCTCTCGCAAACTTTGAACTTGCCACTAAACAATAATTTGTCTTTCTTCTCTCGACAGGCATACATACGTATCGGATCTAGTAGATGCGGTGGCACTTTGGTAAATCGTTTCCACGTTGTTACAGCTGGACACTGCGTTGCAAAGTGAGTACACGGCATATTCAGAAATATTGAAAGCGCTATTATTTTTATTTTATCGACTAAAATTTTAATTAAAATTTTAATTAACTTTTTCAAATTGCAATTTAATTAAACTGGCTTAATTGAATTTAACTCAACTGTAATCAAAATCATAATTAAATTCTCCAAACGTCATAGAGCGTCGGCGCGACAGGTCCAAGTGACCCTCGGCGATTACGTGGTGAACTCTGCCAGCGAGTCTCTGCCAGCTTACACTTTTGGTGTTCGAGAGATTAGAGTGCATCCCTACTTTAAGTTTACGCCGCAGGCGGACAGGTGTGTTCACTTCGTAATCTTTAATAAGCCTCTGCTAAATATGTCTTAAGAAATGGATTGTATATCAAATAAAATGGTCTTCCTTGAGTCGTGTCTTTCACATTCGATCGTTTATCAGGTTTGACGTAGCTGTGCTTCGATTGGACCGACCGGTCCATTACATGCCCCATATAGCGCCAATTTGTCTGCCAGAGAAGAACGAAGACTTCTTAGGGCAATATGGCTGGGCCGCGGGATGGGGTGCCCTACAAGCAGGTAATGCGATGTTAAAACGTGTTATCGGTGAGAAAGACTTGCTTTTTATTTTTCTCATTCATCGGATAATATAATTTAAGATTACTCGTATTTTTCTTCAAAGAAATAAATTCAGTTACAGAAACATTTTCTAACACTTTAAGTCAACAATAGAACAAGAGAGAGAAGTAAGATATTGATTTACTTAGCCGTAAATTTCTCTTTTCCTCTCTCATAAAAATTTTATTTTTATTATTTATTTACTAATAAATACTATTTATTATTTACTTACTAATTACTCCTTTTCATTAGACTACTGTAGCGAATTGTTTTCAAATGTTATTCAGGGTCCAGGCTGCGACCTAAGACATTGCAGGCGGTGGATGTGCCCGTAATCGATAATCGCGTCTGCGAGAGGTGGCATCGTTCCAACGGCATCAACGTTGTCATCTACGACGAGATGATGTGCGCCGGTTATCGCGGCGGCGGTAAGGACTCGTGTCAGGTAAGCGTTTCGTCACCATGGGTGCGTACTGTTTGAACGATGAATCGGTGTTGTCTATCTTCCTCTCTCTCTCTCTCTCTCTCTCTCTCTCT